AGTAGGTTTCTCGTTCAAATGGGTTTACACGATAGTTGCCGTTTATTGCCTATATTTATCTAATAGAACAGTGATTTTATATAGTTTAAAATTTGTCAACATACTCAACATACTTTTAAATATTCAAATACAAATATGACTTCGAGAAATATACATATTTTTTAGTAAAAAAAATAAAAAAAAGTAAACTTCGAGTTCATACAATCAAATAGTAGATCTATTAAAATTATAATTAAAAAGTGAAAATCCTGACCAAACATTGAAGACAAATAGCTTTTGTGTTAAGATAAAGAAGTTTATAAAACTAAGTTACATAAAAAAGGTTTTTTTAAAGCTTATCATCGTTCCTACAAGTTTCTTAAGTAGTTTTTTTTTTCTTTTTTTTTTTTTTTTGTTACCGGGATACGGCGACAGCTTACTGGCCTAGTCACCGGGGCCACCCACTCACAACGTATGTGTAGCGGTGTATTGCCGAACCCATTTCCAACTCTTTTACTGATATCATACCTAATCCATGGGCACGGTACGAGTATCTCCGGTGAAACACCTTCCTAGCTAAGCTGACACTCTATGCACCACTGGTGCATCGGATCCACTCGCCACTGTGTAGTCTTCCCTTGGAGAGGACTCCATATTTCAGGACGTTCACGCCTCACCAGTTAAGCCAGCGCTCTCTGCCGAAGCACCGGATCCAGGCTAGTTATGATCCCCAGAGAAGCCCCATGTTTCAGGGACCACTCATCTCCGGTAATGTCAGTGATCCCTGCCTGGCGCATCGGATCCGCTAACCCCTGCCTGTAACATTAACACTGTTCCACATTCACCTAGGCCCGAAGACCTGTGGGGCAAGGAAAAAACCCTGGAATTACTCTGAAGGAAAATTCCACGGAAAAACCCGCCCCGAAACAGCCGGGGTTACATAGAAACTTTTTCTCGATGAAAACAGTTTTTGAAACGTCTGTAACACTTCAAGTAGTTCGTTTGAAAAAATTTTTGTAATTCTTTCATTACGCTTCCCCAGACTTTTTTCATCACCTATAAAATAATACTGCTCACCCACCATCTTCCCTACATATGCCATCACTTAGTTATTATGAAAAAGCAATAAGAAACTGTGTAAAATCGTCCTACGATAAATAGTCACGTTGGGTTAGGTAAACAGTTTTCACTCTAGGTTTTCCTACAATACTTCACGCATCTTTAGATATTCCCTGAAAAAACAGGAAAAAAATTTTCTCTACACTCCCCGCTTTTCACTACCTCGAAATTTATTTCCCTTACCCACTATCTCCCCTACTTAGTGTTTTAGAAAAAGCAATAAGAAATGAGTCAAACAATGTCTCAATAAAAAGTGACTTATAAAGACATTTGAAAAAGTGAAATTAATGCAATGGTAATAAAAAGAACGTAGTTGTACTTCTATAGACAGTCTGCATAACTTCGTTTGTTATAAGTGTGCATCTCAAAAGCATGGAAAATCTACAAAAGTTACGTTAGTAGATATTGCGATACAGTAGCCCCTCACTACAAACCCACTAACACCCCGTGAGAGTTTCCGGCTACAGCCACTGAGCTACCGTACACTTATTACATGAGGGGGAATACCCCTCCTCCTACACCTGTACTGGAGAGACTTTCCAGACAGGCCACCGTAAATTCCCCCTCCTCACATTTTCCTAATCACTGATATGATTGGCTCTTTGTGTATGAGTTTTACTATATTAATTATTATTAAGCGAGAATACTGTAAGGGTATTCGGCGTTCTTACTTATATTTTATGTTTTTAATTTGCATTGTTACAAAGAAAGTGAATAACTTTACGGTTAAATAACAACAAGATAAATAAATTTATTTTATTTATTTCTGTAATTCATAGCATTAACAAGGGCATTTACATGAAAAGACGTTATATTGTACACCCATAAGATCTTTTGTCAGTCTCCTGTTTTACAATTTCGTGTGCTAAAATTTTTTCGTACATACTCTGCACATCATTATCATTTAAATCACTCACAATATTTTTAACGACTTCAAGTGTGTAGTAATCAATTTGTGCTTTATGCACACTACTATCATATAGTAAAATAAAGTCTTAAAATTTCTGCGCTACGATAGGCATATAATCTGATACTTCGCTAAATTAACGCAAATTAAAATCAACATAATTTACAATAAATTTGTGTAAATAATCGAACGTTACTTTTTTCAACACTAAACTTCGATGATACTTCTTTGCAGCTCTTTTTCTTTCACTTTGTCGTTTTATTTCTTTAATCTCGATGGCTTTTTCTTTATAGCTCATCCTAAACTTCAAAAATCAGTAGGACCAGTAAATCTTGATATCTTACAGTTTACTGTCATCCGTCGTGAAATATTTTTTAACATCGGAGAAGGCCAATTCCAACTCGCTCTAACTAGGAACTGTAAAAGGAATTCTTTCGAAATCTACGCCCAACAGGCGAATGATAAGTTCCCAATTGTTGTCCAACAATTTTTCGTATTTAAAACAACAATTAATTTTCTTACTAACTGATTTCTTTGATCCGTAAAGTTTGCAAATAATCTTAGCAAGCGATGATTGTTGATGCTGCTTTAAGGTGAACTGATCCAAAGCTTCTCTTTTCAAGACTCTTTTTTTCACAGGCCCCATTTTCTTCCCGTTGCAATAAATGAACTCTCAGATGATTGACCAGAGACTAGCTGCTTTTTTGCTGAAGCACAATATTATGCTACTTATTATTTGATAAATCAGGGGTATTAAAGACGCTTGGAGGTAGTAAATCACGTTTGAGCTTGTCAAAAGTGCACCATCAAGCATTTTGAATAACATTATTTGAAAAGCGAGTATAAACGCCAGAGTACAAAAATGCTGACTGTGACTTTTGTTACAAAATATTTAAAGGTAGGCTTATAAAATGCTAAGATTTTTATTTCTTAGAATTTGTAACAGTCCGTAGCAACATTGTTTGGAATGCGCAGACTACAAGTAATAAGCACAAAATAACAAAGATACATGACAAAAGCATAGAGTTAAATTTCATGTCAACGACATTTTAATATAACTACTTTGTAAGCATTTTATTGAACATCTACCACTACCCGACATGTAGTTTATATTTTTTCATTATATCTTAACGAAATGAAACAATTGACACTTTCGTTGTTTTTTCTTCAAATCATCGGAAAAAATTATCAAGAAATTTTTAGAAACCCAATCCATGTCTCATGTGAAACAGAAACATTAAACAAAGTACATCACGTACTTTTGAGGATAGGCTTTGAAGCTGCTTCGTATTTTAACGCAGTTTTCAAAAAAAAATTTTATTAACGGTCAATGTGATCTGGTATATACGGTTGTACACCATATCCATCGAAATAAAAGGCATCAACTTATTCATCAGCATACATAGCAACCAAATCAGTACCTTGCTTTGTTTGATTATCAGTGTTTATGACAAGTGTTGTCGGTTTCGTCCACACCTGTGAGATCTGATCAGGCAGGAATACAACCACAGTATGCGAAGGGATTCGCGAGAGGTGTTGCAGTATCTACAAATTATTCATGGTTAATTCCTACAGTTTTTGATAATTTCTTGACAGAGCCAAGACTTTAATTTATAAACATTATTTAAGGCACATCGATATTTTTGATAATCTGGCTCCAATTCGTGATGCATGCAATACTTCTACACTGTTGAGGCATTTATAGGGAAGTAGTCGGTCTCGTTTTCTAAACTTATTACTTCACAATTCGTAATTTTGTGCTAATCGTACCACTTTTTACAACCTCTGATGTAAATTTTGCGTATGTTTGTTCCAATATCATTCAGAATTAAAAAAATTGTTTTTAAAGGTACTTAACCCTCAAACAAATAAAGTCTATGATGATGTCGAGACAACAAAATATTGTGATGTTATACCTCCTTACTCAATTTCGCAAGCAACAAGGAGGTGTTGCTAGTCAATGTGTAAGAAATTCATTGTTTAAAGTAACGATAGCAACTTTTTTAGGCAACGCTACGTCTATTTGAACCTTGAAATACTGAATGTCTACTACGAGGTTCAGAACATTTTATGTATAGTTGAGCGTACCAACAGAAAATAAACCAAAAGACGATTGTCGCGTCCAAGCAGTGAGTGTAAGTATATTGTAGGTAGTCACCCCCACTCCACATAAGCGAGAACAAGGAGAGAGAGAGTTAGTTTAAAGCTATATGTACAGCAGTACACTTGTAGCCACTGACCAAGTCGGTTAGACTATAGCACAATAAACGAGTTCACATAACTAAGGTCTATCTCTCTTGCTCCAGGTCATTCCTGCCTTCCTCCAGGACAATAGTATCCTTCAGGTGCCATATATATATAGTAGGCCTTAAGTCCCTACATTAGTGACCCCAGCGTGATGTCTTGGATCTAGTTCCTACATTGGTGACCCCGACGTGATGTCTTGGATCATCACCTTGAAATGGGAGGATTCCGGGCGACATCCCCAGTATACATCAATCTCGATAAAGCTGAGGCGCCGGAAATTATCGGCAGTAGAATCCTGGCAACTTGTGGCGTGAGCGACACGTATGACTGGGCAAATGCAGTGGTCTTGCCACATCAACCAGAGCACGTCTACCTCCAGCACTGGAGCATCATGGTCATCCTGGTCCATCCCCACAGCCTGAATACAACGCAGCGAGTTTGGAGATGTAAGGGGAACTAGGAGTACCATGTGATTTATATATTTTTTTTTGGGACCTTGCAATGGAGGCTGAAAATTTAATGAGGCTGATATTTTATTGTTACTGATTTAAACTTTCACTATATTAATANAAAAAGTTTTATACGTGGGGTTAGAAAAAATTTATTTATAAAAAAAAAAAAACTATGATAAATGTAACTATGCAAATACTTATACACAAACTAAACAAACTTATGACATTAACACGAAGGAAATAATTGGAGAGAATGTATAATAATCTTAAAACCTTCAAGCTTTACTTCATCAATTTCAAGTAAAAAATTGTAATTTACAACGATTGAAACCACAAATAATTAAACTACCTGTCCTCCCTACTTGCGGTGGTGTTGGTGGTTTAGTCGTTGGAGCAGGTCCAACCACTGCTGAAATTAAGCCTGAGCCTACGGAAGATGCACCAGAACTATGAATGCTACTTTGACTACCTCCTTTTTTACTTTTTGGAGTTCCAATACTTTTTACACCGTGACCCAAGTCATCAAAAATAGTATAGTCGACAGTTTTTCTAACGTATTTAATGGGCTTTTCAGGATTAGCTGGAGCGATAATCTTGTATTGTCTGGAAGTTATTTTGTTTGCTGTAAGGACTCCAATTTCTCTTCTAGCTACTTTTTCTTTATGAATCATTACAGTTTGTGAAATATGATTCATTTGACTTTCCATTTCTGATAACTGACTGGTTTGTAAGTCAAGTAACTGTAAAAAGTTATAGGCTAATGTATTTATTTGGTAAGCAACGCTAGCTAGTGACTGAGTAGTATAGTTTTTAGTTTCTTCTAAAGCGATTCTTTTGTTTTCAGCTTGAAAGTAATTCGCTTCACAATAATCAGCAACTCTTTCGAGATTGGTATGACTATCAGCCAGATTATTCCGTCCTTCAGGGATTTCATGATGAAGAAGAGCTACTAATTCAGCCATAATCTATATTATTATTCGAAGAACAAGACCTACAATTAAGAAATAATTATTAGATTTTTTATTATATGTTTCAATTTTCTATTTTTTCAATGAATTTTATTGATACATTTATATTTGTTTTATTTTTTAATGCACTGAAAACTTATTAGATTTAACAACAATGTAAATTAATAAAAATTTTATTTTAAGAGTTAAGATATACAAGATACGCAATTATCATTCTCAAGTTAAGTATTAATTAATTATCCACAATAACGCTAAGTTTCAGATATGTCGTCTGCTTCAGAACCAAACAAATAAAATTTTTGAATATTCAAGTAAGAGCATTCATGTGGCGTAACATTTAACTTATTAAGGAAATAAAAAACATAAATACACCTTTTACAAACATTGTGTTAATACATAAATTTAAATGACAATTATTTTTTGACACTCAAAAAAGACACATTATTAATAATCTTATTAACCTAAATTGTCAATAGAACACACTTTGGAATGATTAATTTAATTCTGGTCAGATCCTAACCTAACAGTCCCAATCTAATACTGATAAGTTACCTCAAGATCCAAGCACGTAGAATCAGACACATGTATACTAATGGCAATGTATATAACCTTTTTCGTACACTCTGTTGTATTAGTAATCTTCAAGAATAAGGGAAGACGATGCGCAGAGTCCCGGAGGGTTGAATGAATCTCAGGAGTATATGGGAAATTAAAGTGCCACGGCACCGCTGCAGCGGCAACACAATTGAGAAAACAAGCAGATAAGAAGGGGCTTAGTAATTGAATCAACGCTCTTGAGTTGGCCTACTGAGCAACGAGAAAGGGACCGATAAAAACGAAAAAAAAGATAGCACGAGGGGATACACGATCTTTTTCCGTTTAGAAAGTACGTATAAGTGAAAGAGTTAGTATTGGGGGAGGGGGGGGCATGTGCTATCTCCAGTTGCTCTGTAAAATTTGCGTGTTAGACCAATTAATAGGGGGGTTTCGCATCAAATAAATGCCAACCATGATATCTCAGAATAATGGTCTTCGTTATGATGTTTAGAAATAACGTATCTAAATTCCAATAGCTAGTTTTTTCTTTTTTTTTTTTTTATGAGCTGCTCAAGGACCGAAAAACTTGTTTTTGCTTCTATGAAATTTCCCTTACATTTTATAAAGAAATGTCTTATACAAAAGTTGTAGGCATTTTAAATATCTACAAAATGAGGCCTGTTGCGTTAAAATTCATTTCGGATTTTTTTTATAAATTACAAAAAACAGTTCAAAATCGCTGTTTTTTGTTTGATTGTTTAAACAAACAGTTTGTAATGTAGACATCTGAAAATTGTATGGACTATTGTTTATGACGTATAGTATATGTAGTTTTTTTTTTGAATTTTTTGGTTGCATGTTTTTAGCAAAAATCCATTTGTTTATTAAAAAATCACTTTTTTGCAAATTAATTTCTACAACTTTTGCAAGTCGTTGAATGTTCTATTTGGGCTCATTTTCTTTCTTAAGAGTTGTACTTTCAGTTTGGTTTTATGGCTTATTGATTCTTCCAACAGGGACCTCGCAAAATTGATTGCAAAAAAGTGCTTACCTGCAAAATGGAATAACTCAACAAATATTAAGCGAATCGTTTCGAAACTTTTTTCATTATAAAGGCACAATTTTTCTCTAAATGTTTAAAAAAAAAAGAGTGTTCTACAACCAATAGGAGCCAAGAAAATTTTTTTTTTTTTTAAATTTCCTGTCGCTGCATTTTACAACCTATGGGGCTGAAATTTTCAGAGAATACAGTTTAATAGTTAAATTTTCAGTAAAAAAATATTTCGTATTGTTTTAGTGATACATTTTGTAGTAAAAGCAATGTTTATGACTACGACAATTCAGTCGGTAGGGTAGAGATAACTGGCATCAGATGCTACGAGAAATGAGCACGGACGTTTCAAATCGTGCGAGCTGGAAAAAATGTTGATATCTCGGGTTCCCGTGGTCACACAAAAAGTTATAACCAATCGATTTGGGGTAGCTCGACGAGATAAAATCAGATAACGTATTTGTTTTTATCGCAAATGACGTTTGAACGCCTTAATTGTTATTAATTTTACTTACAATACTTTTACACCCATTTAAGCAGTTTCATTTTGTTTTCTTTCTTATAGGTCGTCGATCGAAACGGTGTTTCATCAGTATAATTCAAAGTAATCTTTAGCTGTATTATGACCGAAAAAATTAAGCAGGATACATGATCCTGTGATGCTGTGATTCGAATTTTCGCGCTGTTCTCCCTACCGTAGGTTTTATTTTCTGCAACGAAGGAAGGTTACTTTACGTACAGTCTATATATCGACGGCTCGTACGAAAAGAATCACAGTAAATTTGGCTTCGACAAAGAAAAACACATCTCATTTAGTTAAACGAAAAAAATACCAACTTCAGGTTTCTCACGAAGGCTATGACGGTTTACGAAGTCTGATGAAGACTAACTTACACACTCGCGCTCCGCCGAAGACAATCACGCATAGCAACACTCTTACGAAAGAAAGCATAGTATGCGTAGTTGGACGAAAAATATCACAGCTAAGTGCAATATGACGAAAACAATCACGGCTTACTATACTCCGACGAAGAAAATCACACCTCCTAAAGTCTAACGAAAAATATCAAGACTTACTACGCTCTAACGAAAACTATCACGGATAGCAACACTCTTACGAAATATATCACAGTTCGTAGAGTTAAACAAAAAATATCACTACTAACTGCTATCCAACGAAGACCATCACGGTATCTTTTAG